GTTCTGCTGCTTTTAACTACAGTTCTGCTGCTTTTAACTACAGTTCTGCTGCTTTTAGCTACTGTTCTGCTGCTTTTAGCTACCATTCTGCTGCTTTTAGCTACAGTTCTGCTGCTTTTAGCTACAGTTCTGCTGCTTTTAGCTACAGTTCTGCTGCTTTTAGCTACAGTTCTGCTGCTTTTAGCTACAGTTCTGTTACTTTTAGCTACTGTTCTGCTGCTTTTAGCTACAATTCMGCTGCTTTTAGCTACAATTCTGCTACTTTTAACTACAGTTCTGCTMCTTTTAGCTACCATTCTGCTGTTCTGCTGCTATTAGCTACAATTCTGTTACTTTTAGCTACTGTTTTGCTACTATTAGCTAAAGTTCTGCTTCTTTTAGCTACTGCTCTGCCACTATTAGCTACCGTTCTGCTGTTATTAGCTACTATTATGCTAATTTTAGCTACTGTTTTACTATTTTACCTTTTGGCTGTTAGTTTTAGTCTTGGCACTTTTAGCTAGATTTTTGCTACTCTTTATCCTTTTGTCAAATTTAGTTTTTAGCTAACCTTTTGACTAAGCTTGTTTAGCTTCATGCTGGTGTTTCGCTACAATTAGCTTTCAACTAGTGTTTTCCTACTTTTGAATAGCATAGTGCTTTTTTAGCTTGTAGTTTGTCTGTTTTAGTTTTTACTATCAATCTGCTACTTGGAGCTTTTACCTGCTTTTAGCTTTTTTTAGCTTTTAGTCATCTTTTTGCTGCTTATGACTAAAGTTCTGTTCTTTTAGCTTATAATTGCCCTTTATCCATAGTTAAATTTTAGCACGTGTTTTTTCTGCTTTAACAACTCAGTTTTAACTTCTTTTGCAAATTTCAGCAAAGCCATTCAGCACTGAGCAGTCGGACTTTTAGAAAGTCTGGTATAGGATTTTGTGTGTGTTTTTTATTAATTTTTTTCATCCTGCTATGTTTTAACTCTTTTGTTTTATTTCTTATMTGGCTGAACTGTGCTTCCAGTTTATCAGACCAAAGATAAACCTTTGATATATTTTAGCATGTTGGTGACCTGTTCCACTCAAATCTCATTGACTTTTGCATCCAGGCTTTGAATGTTAATCTTGTTCTGGAAGCAGCCAAGAGGAAAAGTCCAGAGTGACTGACAACCAGCAGAGTTATCACATGGTTCCTGCTCTCAGATAATTTCTTTGCTTAATCTACAGACCCACAAAGCCTCACATTGTCCTTTACACATGTATACATGGGTGCACAGGTATGCACTGCCCTGTGGGGGGTCAGGAAGTGAAGCATGGGACAAAAAGATAAAGACCGTCCCCAAATTTCTGCTGCAGTCGCTGCCACCACGCTGTGTGTGTGTGTGTGTGTGTGTGTGTGTGTGTGTGTGTGTGTGTGTGTTTTTATTCAGAAGCTTGGTTGCACATTTCACATTTGTAATAATAAGATGTGGGTGTTTAACCTGCTTTTTTAAAAATTCATTTACAATCTGACACTAATGAGCTTCACTGATCAAGGTTTAAAAAGCCTCATAATGTGAGAAACCAGAAATAAGTCGACACTGACGCTCAGCTGAGATTTCAGGTRCGATGCTGCTTAGATTTTTATTTTATCTCCTGAAACAGGTTGAAGCTCTGAGTTGGGACACCAGAGGACAGAAATGTTTCTGGAACACTGGTGCCATCTGGCATTCTTCTCCTATTTGTCATCCTTTTTACWTCAGTTATAAACTGACTCCTGCATTGTTGTTGTAATTTGTGCCTTTTTGATGCAGTATGTGATGAGTATGTGTAGAAAGACTTGAATGAATGTTTGTGACCTTTATGATGACCAGTGGAAACATGATCCTTCGTTGTACAGAGAGCATTCATCCTTTTCACCAGAATCAGCAGACAGCAGGACAAGTTGGTCACTGTGACAGAAAACATCTCTGGACTGCTTGTCGCAGTGCCTGGTTGTGTGTAGAGAGAGGGGTGTGGTGGGGAGGGGAGGGGATGACCTGCAGTAACATAAAAACTCTGTCTCCTGATGCAGTTTAGTCACCGGAGCCGACACAGCAAATATACTGTGACTGCAGAGAGAGCAGCTTATGTCACATTTATCCTAAAATGTGCACATTTAAAAACACAAAATGGTCCAAAAAGCATAAAAATATTTTAATTTTTGGACTTAAAAGGATCCACAATTAGTTGTAACATTAGACTTTATTTGATAAACATATATTTTAACTGTAAAATAAAGACTGTAAAAACACTGTAGGCTGTTTAGTTTTTATGATTTTTAAAGGAACAGTGTGTAGGATTTTGTCAATTCTTTTAGCCGAAATTGAGATAATCACTAATGACAATAATAAAAAACATCTAATCATTGCAGACAAAGGCCTTGTTTTATTATTTTTACCTTTTTATAAAAAGCTGTTTATATCTCCATGGTCGCAGGTCGCCACTACAGGCAGCCGCCATCTTGCACCGCCATCTTGTCTACGAAGGCTCATGAAGGACAAACTGCGGTGGCGGCGTCAAAAACGGTTTTAGTTGTAAAACGGTACTATAAATGTAACATTTGTTGTCTGTCATTGTAGCTGGGATAATTTTACATATTAAAGCTCATAATCTTACCACTTGAAACATCACTAGCCCTGAAGCTGCTGGTAAACATCGCTGTTGGAATTATGTAAGGTTTTTGACACCTGAGAGACACCGTAGCAACTCCTTTGCGTCTGGAAGCGGGGGTGGGGGGAGGACCAGGGAGGATGATTCAACCACTCAACCACTAGATGTCGCTAAAAAAAAACAAATCCTACACACTGTGCCTTTTAAACAAAAATTTTAAAAATGTTACATGGACTGAGCCATTTCATTTACACACAAAGCATTCTGGGTAAATGATGACATTGACAAGGTTATTGTGCAAGGCTGCTAGCAAGCTATATCCACCCTGAAGGTTAATCTTGGACAATATCTGACAATCGGCTCTTTTAAATGAAATCAGAGAGCGTTGACAGAGAGGAGAAGGTAGAAATGACTGAGCCTGTAACTGAAAATATGGATGGACCTCAGTTTAGCTTGTTAGTTTGTCGTGCTTGCACCGAGCTAATACATATAAGGCAATATAGCATCTGCACTAAAGCTAACAGGATAAGTTGAGGTTCTTCTTCCATGAAGCAGCTCTGTTGTCCTCTATTTTCAGTTACAGGCTGAGTCATTTCTACCTTCTCCTCTCTGTCAACGCTCTCTGGTTTCATTTAAAAGAGTCGATCATCAGATATTGTCCAAGATTAACCTTCAGGTGGATATAGCTCGCTAGCAGCCTCACACCGAGGACCCATCGACGTCATCATCATTTACCCAGAATGCTTTGTGTGTATATTAAATGGCCCTGTCCTTGTTAAAATGTATTTTTAAAACTTTACAAAACTGAACATCTTAATATTTTTTACAGTCTTTATTTTACAGTTAAAATATATGTTTATCAAATAAAGTATAATGTTACAACTAATCGTGGATCCCTTAAAAGCGACACAAAAGCACATTCATTTACAGTAAGATAATTATCTCATGAAAAGCATGCAGTGGGTGTAAAGCTACCTTTTTTAAAATGCAAAGAAATAGGAATTGTCTAGAACAACTGTAGTTTAGCAGAAATAGACGGTAACAAAATAACTGTTCCTGGTTTATCCTTACACATCATTGGTAAATACACAGAGTTCACAAAGTTGTCTTGATCTGGTTTTTAACTGGCATCTTAAGGCACATTCTTCTAAATAATATCCTTGTTCAAAAATAAAACACTGAGCAATGACATTCTGCATGGTGAGAGTGGCTTTCAATAGACTTCAGATTACTGACTTTTACAGCTTTGCAACACAATTGGGTTGAATAAACAACAGCTGTTGTATGTCTTTTTGTTTTTTCTTTTATTCTGTGAAACTTATTTATAAACCAGATTTTTTTTAACTCACCAACCTGTCACTATCTGCCTTTCTGGCCTGTGTGTGTAAGCCCTAAGTGAAACTGGCAGGTCCTGTGAGCATCAAGGTGAGTGGAGAAGTGGCAGATTGACTTGAAAGTGGAACAAGATGAAGTGGGAGATAAAAAATGAGTTGTCTGGATGGAGCGAAGCGAAAGTGCGAGTGTGTAAGTGCAGGAGGAGGCTGGGGCTGTGTGGGTGCAGAGATGGACTGGGAGACTGGGAGAAATTGGAAAAGGAAAGATGGAAAATTTTAAAGAAGAGAAGGAAGATGAAAAGAGAAGGGAAGAGCAGAGCATGATGGGTAGAAATGGGCAAGAGTATGGTGATGTTTAATGGAGGGTGAAGGGGGGTCAAAGGCACAGGGAGACTATGGAGAAATGAAAGCCGGAGGCTACCAGTACCCTTTACTCACCCACATTTGGACGAAACGCAAATTCACACCTCTGGTAGCAAACACTGTAAAAAGAAAAATACACCTTAAGTGGAGCAAAAACAACAACAACAACAAGGTTTTATTAATTTTTTTGAATAGCCTGATTATATCAGGCATTTTGAAGCCTTTTTTACTGGGATATAAATCAAACGTCGATAACAGGTGGCAGTAATAAGTAGACAGAAATGCAACACAACTGTTTCATTCAGGTAAAACAATAAGCTGCAGGAGGACCAGTTCCAGGTAGATGGAGCACAAAATCTAAAAGCTAATGAAGAAACCTGCAGCTTTAATCAGTTTGATGCAGATATCAAAAGAACCAGCAAACAATGATATTAAGTCCTACAATGTAGCAAATACATACAACCTGGTACTTTTATAAGGTAACAAATGGAGTACTTACAGAGTAGCACACTGGGTACTTACTGAGTTACAATGAGTACTTACTGAGTTACAATGAGTACTTACTGAGTTACAATGAGTACTTACTGAGTTACAATGAGTACTTACTGAGTTACAATAAGTACTTACTAAGTTACAATGAGTACTTAATGAGTAATACACAGAGTAATTACTAAGTAAACATGCAAAGTACTTATTAAGTAACACGCTGGGTACTTACTGAGTAACACACTGACTACTTTCTGAGTACCACACTGAATATTTAATGAGTAACACACTAGGTACTTACTGAGTAACGCGCAGTAAGTAAACATGCAGAGTGCTTAAATATTTACAGAGTAACATACAAAGTACTTACAGAGTTACACACTGGGTACTTACTAGGTAAAATGCTGGGTACATACAGGGAAACATACAAAGTACTTATTAAGTAACACACTGGTTACTTGCAAAGTAACACAAATTCATTGAGTAACAGTAATTATTGAGTAACACACACGGTACTTACAAGACAAGAGTTCTTACCAAGTAACACTGAGTACTTATTGAGTAACACAGGGAGTACTTACTAAACAACACACAAAGTACTTACCAAGTAACACACAGGGTACTTAATAACATGCATGTATGTTACCAAATGTATGTACCTTGTATTTTACTGCATGAGTACATTATAACAAGAAAGTAATACAGTTCTTCCCTATAAGTATCCTCAGCATTACTAAGTACCAGCTTTTTATTATATTACTGCCAAGAAAACATTATTAGAAAAAAGTTCATGCAACATGTACAGTAATTTTTCCTGCCAGTTTTCCCTAAAAGTGCTGTGACCTCTTATTTATTATTATTATTATTATTATTATTATTATTATTTGCCTTTTTTAAAGAGGCAGTAGGACCTGCTGCAGTCATTTAGTCATGCGCACACAGCACCACTGGAGTTTATTTGATGGTTATCAGGAGGGACTTTTCTTCTAGCAGAACAGATAACACATAAAAAGAAAACAATCCGTTAACAGGTTTTAAACTGAACTCTAATATGGCTAAACTAAATAAAAGATCCAAGTATCACAGTTTTATACCTTATATTGATATTAGACTAAATATAACCAGAGGAAATACACATTGAAAATCTGCAATTTACACACTTTAAATATCTGAACCAACTACAGGGCATCAAATAGTCCAAATGTGTTTTATGTCATGAGATGCAAAACAAAAGCATGATTGTGTTTTATTTTGTGTTTCTCTGATGTTCAGGATCATCACAGCTGTACAGTTTACCAAACAAAGTTGATACGTATTTTGTCTGAATCATCCCATCATGATTGGGTTTGTGGTTTTCTCTCTGTTTCATCTCATTTCGGGGTTTTTTATTTTTTCGAGCTTTTCTGAAATGAGATTGATCAACGCATCCTCTTGTTCACCGGCTCAAATCGTAATCTGTGCTTTGATTTGCACCACTTTGCACCTGCCAGCTTTTGAAATAAACATTTAAATTAAAACAGGGACACATCCTGACGTTGTAGCTCAACAAACTGTTGACTGCCAGCAGCCTTTGCAGCTCATTTCAGTCACTGGAAGCAGCCTAATGAAATGGCACAGTCCCGGGATGTGTAGGCGGTAAATCACTCCTAAGAAGCTGGAGGCACATTATAATTCTTCCGAGGCYTCACACCTAAGCACACTTTCTGTTATTAATCACCTGAAAGTAGAGGTTCACCTTAATTTCATCTCTGCTGAAGGGAAAAATCATTTGTGGAGGAGTGAAGCTGTGAAAACAGGATGACAAAAGAATTTCATGTTCACTCTGAAAGATGTGGGGGGGGGGGTGGTTGATCTGACAGGAGGTGGGAACGGAACATCTCAGTTAAAATGTGACTCATCATTTTGATTGCACTGTTTAACATAAAACTACTGGAAGCATTTGATTCATAATTCTTTTTATCTGTAAATAATGTAATTATGTCTTTAGCTAATTAATAAAAACCCCAGAAGATCCAAGCATTCCGTTCATACCTTGAGCTAAAGCAAATCCTCACTGTTAATAAATATAAATATGTAGCAATAAATCAATGATTCATAGATAGTGTTGATTTGTAATTATAAATTGGTAATTTTTGATTAATAACACTGACGTTAGCAGAGAATAAACGAGGGATAAAAACGTGTTTGTGTCGCTCACTCAGCATCTGTTTTTGGGTTTTCTTTCTCAGGTTCTGCTCTCCGGACTCATCGGTGTGGTGTCATGGAAGAGGCCGCTGTCGCTCGTGGTGAGTCTCCTCTGAACACTTAAACTGATCTTACAACTCCCCCAAACAAAGCCAGTAATACTGTATGTGAGAGGGAGTCTTTAATGTGGCCGTGATGCTTCTTACTGTTGCTGAATCTGCTCAAAGCCTCACACTGTATCAGATTTTAATTAACAGCAAGTATCAGAAGTAGCAGGATGGAGAAACAACTGAACTGAAAGATAATGAGTAAAAAGATGCTGACTTTGAGGTTTAACAAAATGATCGTGTTCAAATGGAGGCTTTTTTTGTTATTGTGAAACATTACATAATACTTCAATGATCATTTCTTTTGGAACCTGTTTTTTCATTTAGCAGCTGTGGAAAATGTCTTTGAATGCTCGTTTCGGACTTAAATTGACCTGAGGAGGGCCAAGTTGAGCCGARTGGAAGAAGGCTGTTAGGGAAGTGATAAACATTCCCAATCCTGCTGGAGACAGCCTGTTTCACCTGTCCTTCAGACAAGAAGCAGGGAGTCAAGCGCTCAATGTGGTCGATCGGCAGCTGACCGAACGACGGTTGTTTGGTTGTTTCATAGCTCCTGAGACACACCGTGCTGAGTTTCTGGAAAACCCCTCCCACTGCGGTACATGTCACTGCACAGGGTTTCTTCCTGCGGAGTCTACAATGCGGAGTCTACAATGCGGAGTCTACAATGCGGGAAAAATTTATCTTTTAAAAATCTGAGACCCATCACTTGACGTTATTTTTCCACAAATCCATCCCGGTTAAAGCTCCACAGTTTTTGTTAGACTCCTCTATCCATGAGTTTTTGGCCGTTTGACTATCTTTTATAAATGCCTGCTTCTGAGTGCAACAGTCATATTCTGGAAGCAAGTTTTTTTTTGTTTATTTATTTATTTATTCAAGCGAGTCGTTGAAGCAAAATGTAGGGTCTGAGTGCTTTCGGTAAAAACACTACCACAGACTTCTGGTCAAGTAAGTTGGATAAGTTCTTATGTGGAAGGGGGTAAATGCCGATAAGTCGACGCTGTAAACAAAATGACGTAGTTTTCATCATGAAACTTCGACAAACCAATCCGATTTCGGCAGTTTGGATGGAGCACATTGGGCGCTTTGCTCTGGCTGCAGCCTACCTAGATAGCTGTGAAATGAGACAGTCTAGTCATTGGAATGACATATGGTTGTGTGACCATGCCCATAGCAATATAGCTTTTATTTATTTACTTACTGACTGACTGACTGACTGTTATTTATCCAGGCAAATCCAATTGATATCCCAGATCTCTTTTTCAAGGGAGGCCTGGGCCTGAAGGCAACCTGTTGTACATGTTTTTGGGGAGGTGGGGGAAACTGGAGTACCTGGAGAAAACCCACGCAAGCAAGAGAACATGTAAACTCCACACAGAAAGACCCCAGGTCCGAACCGGGGACCGAACCCAGGACCTTCTTGCTGTGAGGCTTCGGTGCTACACTGAGCCGTCGTGCTGCCAAGCTTTGTCTTCATGTGCGTTCAGACTTGGAATGCATTGGGACACGGGTTAAGATGTCTTTTCATGGTTTAGCTCCGGTATCAGTATGTTACGTTGCTAAACATTCATTTACATTTTCTAAAATCTTCGGTTTATGATGAATTTCCAAACTACGCCAACTTGGTAAAAGAAAAAAAAAAACCCAGTTGTCTTTGTTTCCTACTAAGTTTGCTGTTGGCACAATGAACCCCATAAATGAAGGCTACTTCGTAGTATCCTCCCTGAGGAGATCTCAGGAAAAATTGCACCGACAGCAAACCCATTCGTCTTTGTTTCCTACTTAGTTTGCTGTCGGCGCAATGAATCCTGAGATCTCCTCAGGAAGGATACTACGAAGTAGCCTTCATTTATGAGGTTTTGTGGGCCGCATAAGAAGAAGCCCACATATTGGGACAACCTTTGGTGCGGGGCAGTTACATAAGTGGACAATAAAAGCAGACTTCGAAGGACGCGTTGAGACGCAGCCTGTGTGTGGGATTAACTTGGCTGCAAAAACAGATCCTTCTGGAGTTGAGACCAAAAATGTATAAAAGAGAAGTAGWCAATTCAATAAAAAATGAAAGTCTTTCATAAAGATCAACTTAAAACACTGTTAGAAAGCCTCATTTCCTGAGAGGAAAATAAGAGGTAGCTCCAAACTTTTGTAGAAGATTGTATTAAATCACCTTACAGTGAGGGGTTCAGCTTCAGAATAAATCTCTTCTCAATATATGTGGGTGCAATAAAAGTTCCCCGGATATCGGTGTTGTATCTTAGAACAAAATTGCCACGAGGCAGGTGGATTGGTTAAATCCCCCCATCAGAAACGTGGATGTCTCAGGGAAAAGAGACARTTCTGCTCCATCCGAGGTAGAAAGCTTGAGATGGCTGTCACCGTGCTGTCAGGAGGAACGTGCTAATGTGACTGAATGTGATTGTCTGCACTCATCAGATCAGAGCACCGCGACGGCGATCGGACGTTTTTTAATCCCAGATGCAGTAGAACACGTGTCAGTCTTCTTTAAGGATGTGTTACATGTAGCTGCACAAAGATTTTGTTAGAAAACTGTAACCGGGGTGGGGTTTAAGTAAAACCCTGTCAAAGTAAAACCACATCAACAAGACGCTTTGTCGCTTACAAATTCGGTGCTGCATCCCAAATTGTGTCCCAGCGGTTTAGATTTCCTGTACATGCATGTGTGTTAAACCATCATTTAAACCATTCTTCTTCCCAACAAAAACTAAATATAGAGCAGTTACCTTGGTCCGAGGTCACACAGAATACAAACCCTTATCCAATTCCATTTCATGCTCCTTTAGTGCCACAAATAATCACCTTTTTTTCTCCACAGCTTTACCCACATAATCTGACACCCCTCCCCCACCCTGCAGGAAACAGCCTGTCTCAGTCACTTAAGTTTTATCACCTTGCATCCCCGCTGATTTTCCTGCATCCTTTCTCTTTGTGCATTTGCCCTCCTTATCGCTATATTTGTTCTGAAACATTTGACAAGAAAAACAACACAAAATCATTTTAGCTCTGAGAAATCAGAAGCAGTATCTCGTCGTTTAGGATGTGTGTGGGGGCACGTTTTTGCTACATCGTGGGAACCATTTTCCAGAAAAAGGTAGCCTCGTGGGGACCAATGCCCGGTTGGTCCCCACAGTCATGGATGCTGAATGATCAGGTTTAGGCTATAAAATTAGCAGAAAATGAATGGAAGTCAATCCACGGTCTCCAGTGGGATATAAAAACATACCTGTGTGTGTGTGGAAGCTGGTCACACTTTAAGCATTGTAAAAGGGTTAAAATGTATTTGATGTTTTTTCCTAAAAAGCATCACTAATTCAGCTCCTGCCTCTTAAAAGCTGGTTTATATTCGATCGTGTTTTGGTGTCGTTACTGTGAAGGCTAAGGTTCAGTCCTGCCGAGCGGGCTTTTACAGTTCTGGCCCGTCCCCAGCGATGACTGGCAGGTGACTAATACACCAGCTGGACGATTTCAGAGCTGGCAACTCCTCACCAACCCATCTGCCAACTGTGGGTGGTCATGCTCCGCATCGTGATTGTTTGTAACTGGTCTCCCTCCAGACTGCTTATGTGTTTGTGTTGATGATTTGTTTTCCTCAGTGAACTTCTCTAAATTTAGTTTTGTCATGTGATTGATAATAACCACTCTGATCCTTGTCTGGATGGGAAGCTGCTGGTGAGGTTAGCTTAGCACAAAATAGTTGGGTTATTTCATTATATTTCCTCTTTGCCGGCCATTTTTACCTCAACTGTCTATATGGTTCTCAAACTGAGGACCTCCAGAAAATGAACAGATATGATGAGAAGTCAAGTTTATTTTTGATTTTAACATAAAAACAGCATTTTAATAACAACCAAAGGTGACATAGTTTCTTTATTATGGTATAGAATTTCAATATATGCCTGAGAAACACACAACATTGCCCCTTTTTAAAACGATGCTAAAGCATGTAGTTGTTCTACTCTTATTTCTCGCCTCACACGGTTACTTCCTGGAGTTACTGCCAGTTACCTGGCAACTAAAATGTGGTTATGAGYCGAGCTGCCGAGGCCGGTTTTAATCCAAGCTAACCTTTTCACTCAAACCTGGAGAGACCGACGCGTTCATGATTGAGTTTATTTATTTTAAAGTTTGCGGATTGGGWTTTGAATGCAACTATTTGACGGACAGAGGTGAGTTATAAATAGAAAAAGTGAAACGGGGCGTGTAGAGGGGAGAGCTGCACTCTGACACATTTCAGTCAAGCCAGAGAGTGACTCTGAATATAAAACAGAGAGGTTACACACRTTAGTGGAAAACACTGTCAAAGAGGGAGCATGTGCTGAATGAGAAATTAAAGGTTTATTAAATATTTTTATGGTTTGTTTAAAATGTGGAATGGTAACATCCTGGCCTGTGTTTTTTATTCTTGTGTGTGTGTTTCTGCATTGTTGTCATGGAAGAGTTACAGCGTTTCACTCAGACAGAAGACTTCCTGCTGTCTTCTGCTTTTTGTGACCATGATGGATGARGTGTTTAGGCGAAGGCAGAAAGTGAGTCAGAAGACAGTAAATTCTTGTTTTCCCCTCAGGGAAACAACTTTGTGATGGTCTGCCACCTGGTACATGTCTGTCACAAATCCCCCCCGGTGTGTTTTCACATGTTAAACACAAGTTTGCCTTCATCATTTTCAAAGCAGTTTAATGCAGCGTTATTATGATTTAAATAAAAATATTGTGTTTGCTGATGAAAACCAAACATGATGAGTCTAACTGCTCGCCTCTGGGGCACCAAATGTAAAGTGAAATGTTAAAAAATGTCACTAACATATTTACATTTTTAGCTCATTTTCTGAGTGTAATATTCCACTAACAATTAATTGTTATTTAGCTCACTTATTATCTTTTTTATCCTGCAGCTAATGCTAACGCTGATAACATTGCTGAAGACGTCATTTGAAATTTAAATTCAAAATGTGTTCATTGAAATGGATTGCACCT